CGCACTTTTCAACCTCCAATCCACGCTTTTTAGCGCTTTTCTACTTCTCCCAATTCGCACTTTTTCAACCTCCAATCCACGCTTTTTATCGCTTTTCTACTTCTCCCAATTCGCACTTTTTCAACCTCCAATCCACGCTTTTTATCGCTTTTCTACTTCTCCCAATTCGCGCGCTCGCTCGGCTCGCGGATACAGCCCACGTCGGGCTGTATCTCGGAGATCTGTGTTTTCAATATAGGAATGGATATGATATCGGAATGATTTGTCAATGTATACTTTACAAGCATCAAGTGCCGTTAAAATGTACAGAACAATTTAGTCCATGTCACGCCTATCTGGGCTGCTATTGGGTAGATTCATATAGCAACCAATATGGACGAGTTTCACGCTACAAAACGCAGGAAATTGATGTGTAGCCTTTTCGTTTGGTGAATAGAACGCAGGATATTCTGGTGGATGTCATGCAATCCAAATCGTTATACCCTTAGGAGCCTTCGTTGTGCAGGCATTGTCAAACACACGCTCGTTGTGGCGATTGGATCGTTCCTTGAATACCGCTTTCTAACGAGACACAATCGAATACTCGAGCTCATATTATTGCACAAGAATATATTCGTGGGTGTACCTCACCACGCGACCATTCACATGTCGTAGGAATCAAGATAGATGCGTTGAAATCAAATTGACAAATATTTGCTTTTCGTAATTGCATGTATTGAAGCGGCGTCTCCTACCAGGTCATGTTTGGTCTCGTCGATGCGCTGCGTTTGCTTATGGCATGGGTGAGTTGATCCATGGCGTTGGCACGCTCCAACGATGCGCTCGAGCAACCTAGCCAGCATGGTTTTCATGACATGCGCTGCACATGTTACAAGAAAAGGAGAATTGATGGTGGTATTTTTGGCACCGACACGGAAGCGGACGATGTTGGTTGGTTTCGTGTCCACAGTTGCCGGGAACACCACCTGCGTGAGATATTGGCGACTAGGTTGCCGCGCATCGGAGGTGAGACATGAAAATGCATATTTTGCGTGGAAATTGCTGCCAACGTCAAATCGGTGTCACGAACGTGCTGGGACTCGCTTCTTCACCAGTTGTCAACCACGCCCCCACGTCCATAAGTGCAGTGACATGTGAATGGGTACGCCGCGTACGCGAGCCCATTACGTATTAACGACCTTGCTCAAATCGTCGTGTTAAGCTTTTGACGTGGTACTAGTACATTTGAATATATGTCGACGTGATCATATTCGCATGTCAGTGAGTGGAAGGGGAGATCGTCGCTACAATTGCAGAAGACGATGTCAACGGCGTGTCAATGCGGTCATTTTAACGTTTTAAGAGCGATTTTTATATGTAGTCGAGCATTGCCCGCGTTTTAGAGCCTGCAGAGGTGACGAATCGCGACCTACTCTGCTCTCCAAAGCGTCTTCTATCACTATGCCAACTATGAGCAACTTTGTTCCAAACGTGATGTTTCGGCAAGTGGCGTCGGCGTCCTGGCGTCCTGCCTCTAAGATGGCACTGCGCTTAGTTTGGCGTGCATAGTGCCTCTCAGATGGCACTACGATCTTAGTTTGGCGCGCATCTTGGATTGAGCTTCGCTACCGCTGTACGCCTCGCACGTCGACGCGGTCTCGCTTTTCATGCTGTCCAAAGCGTCCTCTACCACTGTGCCAAGTCTGGGCCATTTCGTTTCCGAACGCAAAGTGGTGGACCTGAAGATGCTTCCAGATGACGCACCACTCACTATGGACAAGTGCTACAGCCCAAAGCCGGCAGGATCGTCTTTTTGGGACCCACACCAGAACACCATCGCGCGCGATCAACAGCGCTAGAAACCCTGGTGCCTCGATATGCCAAATTGTACTATTTGCGGCGTCATGTGGGTATTAAATATGGCATATGCCATTTTGAAGGAAACCCAACATACAACGGAAAGCTCGGCAAGCTCGGTGTGCCACCTGAGAGTATGCGAGCGAAATTGGACATGACTATCAAATGGTGTTTATAGGCAGCTAGAACGCAATTGTTTCTACTCGACGCCTTCGTCGTCGCCGTCGTCTTCGTTGATCTTGAGCTTGGAGAGAACATGGCGGCCGTACTCGGCGAGGAGCTTGCCTTGCTCGGCGCTTGCGCAGTATTCCGTGAGCGTCTAGGGGCGTATCCCTTTTGCACGTATAAGAGCGCGCTCTCGGCACCGAGCTTGATGTTGATGTTGGGCTCTCGATGAGCGCAAAAATCGGCGGCACGAGCGTGCCCGAGTGCTGGTGCACATGCTTCGGGACGACCTTGGCCATGCGCTTGAAGATGCGCAGAGCCGTGCGGTTGACGACCTTGTTGGCGGTGTCCGAGAACCCCATAGCGAGCGCCTGGACAACGTCCACCGACACAAGCGCCGCGCCGACCTTGACCGCGAGGCCAAGCGCTGTGAAGCTCGACGACTTGACGAGCGGGTTCTCGTCGCGGGCAAGCGCCACAAGCGTCGGAATGACCGGCACCGCAAGCGTGGTCGCTACTCACGTTGGCACCGGCAAAAGGTTGAACAAGCCCAATGCTACCAACGCCGCCGAGTTAAGAAGGGTCCAGCTCCTCGACCATCGTGAGACTATGATGTTTTTCGCTGCCGAGCGAGAGCGTGAGGGCAAGGTCGTTGCTCGCGCGCACACGGAGGAGGTCACAGTTCGTGACGAGGTGACCGCGAAGGACGTCTTCCAGCGCGAGCACTGCCGATGCCGAGACCTTGGCGCCGACGCGGGTGAGAATCGCAACGAGCGCGTCAAGGTTGGCCTCCAAGATGCCGCCTTCGTCGACGCAACTTTGGCCGTGAGCTCGGCAATGAGCGGGTCGATATGGGGCGAGAACGAGGTGGACAAAGGCCGG